ATAAAATAATTCGAAGTGGTCTGTATTCTGTCGAAACTGCCAGACGCGGATCGCGATTTCGATCTTTTTGGATCTCATCAGCGCGTCGCGCACGTTTTTTTTAATTTTGTTAATTTCCAACAAAAAAATTTAAAAGTCAAAATTTATTCATTAAGTAGAGTAGATAATGACAAATACTTTTTAAAAACTTTAATTAAAACTGTAAAAATAACGTTAATTAATTTAGGTTTCAATTGTTAATTACATAGTATGATACTTGTTTAAATTCTGCAAAGTATTAAGCAGTGTATTTTTGATTTAATTTCAATATTGATGATCTTCGTTTTGTATATTTAAATACCATCCACCATTACTCAAAAAACAATATCAAAGAAGAAAATCTTATTTTTGTGAATTTGTTCATTCTCAAACCGTTTTCAGGGCGACCTCATTTCAAAACAAGATAGATGAAGAACGACTTTATCAAGGTTATGATTTTATACCATATTTTTTAGACAATATGGCTAATCAAGTTATGCACTGTTTTGCAAAAGGAGGTCTATCTGTCTGTGTTCCCGTATGTTTATATTTAGTAATTATATTATCTTAAGTAATCAGTTTGATTGAATGATGGTATCTAAAAATCGCACGTCAGCTACTTCTATATAACATATGTATGTCGATTGCTATCATATTGAGTTCATAAGAAACGTAAATAAACATGCGTGTTCAACTCCCAATAAAAGCCATTAAAACTTCAACATATTACAACATAATAAATGACTTTAATTGTAATGTTACGTGAAAACCCTTTCTACAATCAGAAAATTAAATGGCTAATAGGGTGTAATCTACAAAGCTAGTAAACAAACCATCAGTTTGAAAAATTATGTTTCACTGCGAATTATTCTGCTTGAAACAGTTTCAAATACTGACAGCTAACAGAAACTAATTGCAAATAAGAACAGTCTACAACTTTCTCAAAGAGATTCGATGTGTTTTTCAATTCTCCTGTCTTATTAATTGGACTTAAGAACGAGTGCAAGGTTCTGAATCCTCTCCAAATACATAAATGTAGAAATAATTACAACAAATTGAACAAATTATTTATAAAATTCACTTTTTGGCTTCTTCCTATTATTTAAAAAATCTCAAAGTAAAATTCTCGTTCAAATGATCTTACAAGATC